TTCCATGCAGTAGTGATACTTACCCATGTTCGATCACAGATTTCTTCATGTTCCTTTAAAGCTTAGCACTTTGCTGAAAGGCCATATAGCTTCAAAGTTTGTCCAGTATTCATATCGAGTTCTTCTCTGCCGCCAGATATGAATATTTGAGTTTTTACGCTGAAACTGTTAGATAGGGGAAACAAGTATGAAATGATGTCTTGTCCTTAATCCGACTAATTTTTCTGGTTGAGTGCATGAGTGATACTCAAGTCTGAAATGTGTGTAGAAGATTGCTCGGCCTGTGACTATTCATTTGTTCTTCATGACGATAGAAAATCAGTTATCAAAGTTTGTAGTGTTTTTAATGAATACAAGATTTTTGAGTATAATATTTTCACACATAATAGCATATTAGAATAAAAGTAAAGATAATTCTTGTTCAAATTACCATAAACATGCATGGCATAACGACAGTAAAAGAACTTATAACAGTTACGAATACTAGCAGTTACATTTTGGTCACTGCAGTGTGGATTCTATTACAAAATTAAATTTTCATTGGACAAAGTTAGTAAATTCACGGCATTTCCGAATTTTCACGTAGTTCTTCAGCTCAGTTTTTGTATATGAATTTGACGCGAAGTGTGCAAAGTATTTTCATTGACATTACTGTGCATATTCTTAGCACAGCAACGGTAAAAGCTGTGAGTCGAGAGTAACAGCTGTTACATTTTGGTCACTACAGAATAGATTTTATTATTATTACTATTAATATAATATTAAAGGATGTTCAGTATGATACTGATGAATTAATTACTGATTTTTGATTTATAGTATTATTACTTAGAGTATTATCAGTAGATTACCTCAATACTTTTATTTCAGAAGCAAAAGATTAAATAACGACATTTTTCAAATACGTACATAACTCTTCAGTTCAGTTTTGTTTATAAACTTGACACGAGAACTTACAGTGTATTTGAAAGCAAATTTGAAGCATTATTATATTTTAAAATTTATTAACAATGCAAAAAATCTTATTTAAACAGAATTAAATTCAACAAACAAAACAAGATTTACCTTTCAGAAAGCACTTTTTCACAGTCATTAAAATTTAGTACTTTGATAAGTTGTAGAAACTGACGTGCTTACCTGTGCATGCTACTTGATTGTTTCATATATTTACGTATCAAAATGATAAGGACTTCTTGTTTTTTAATAGCAACCATATGTAAAATAATAGCTAACAGATACTTTACTATCAGGGAAGTGAGAGCAGAAGATATTTGGATGACTGATATATATCATAATTTTGTATGGGTCAGTGACATCTAAAATAATAAGATCAGGTGGTGGTGTACTAAGGATAGCCAAATTATTAGTGCGAAGCAGAGAAAACGGAAGTGGATACTGACCCATTTCAGTTCTTGCTGTTTGACTTACGTACAACTTTTCATTCTTTTACCATGAAGGAAAGTAATAACAATTTGAAAATTAAGAATCACAATGAAAATCATATGCATAGATGGATAAAAAATTTGAAACACATTTTTGCACAAGTAGAACTTTCATGACACTGCGCACTTATGCTGAAGTTTACTTTCAGCACGTGATTTCTGCTTCAGAACAGTAAGTCGATCGTTACAATTACCACTGATAGGACTACTCACGCGACGAAATGTGCCTTTACAATAGTCGCTAGAATCTTTGTTGGTAAGCGATCGGTTGCCAAACTTTTGCACATTTACCTTATTAAGAGTGTTATCTGTAAATTGACCTTTTATGGTTAACTCTCTTTCCTTTTCTTTCTCTAAATCTTCTAATTTGTGTGATGTTACAGAATTTGTCATCGTGTTTTGGCTTGCATTATCTGATACATGCTTCAATGTAAGCGGTTGATCTTCATCTGAAAATTCTATGGGATTAGATATACATATCGGTACTGACTACATTAGTCTCATGTAGTTACTGCAATTAATTATATAAATAATATTAAATGAAATAGAATAATACTTTGCTTATAAATCTTGTAAATAGCAAGCGACTCTTAAGAACGGATTTACTAACCTGATAAGTTGATAATAGGATTACTATAAGAGTGTGATTCACGAACGATAGTTTCTAAAACTTCATTCAAGCTACTTCTTTGACTTCCAATCTCATTATCACATTTATAACAGCCTTTTTCCAATCCTGATAATTCATCACTACTTTGGTTGATTATAACGCCACAATTGCTGCTAGTTTGATTCGTATTGAAGTTCGAATGACTCAATGATCTGTGAGTCAATTGTCAACTCATATCATTACATGTAAGATGATTATTAAGACTGCTTGTAGCAATGATAATGAATTTTTCGAATTAGTATTATCAGTCTCATTACAGACCACATTTATCAATCTAATTTACTACTTCTGCAAATAATTTGGTTAAAAACTACAATATTACTCTTGACATATACTTAAAATTATTTTATTAAAAACTGACCTCAAGTTACTAATATATATAATGTATGATAGTGGTCACGATATTTACCTGGTAACTTTATGCCGAACCACATTTATAATACTAGGTTGACGACTGTTTCTAAAAAAATTTTCATACATTCCATTTGTTCAAAAATATATCCTTCTGTACTTGTTAATTGCTGATATGGATTTTTTCTCCACGTTGAATGTCATAACACTAAAAATTTTGATAACCACCCCAACTTTGTCTCATGCATACTACTTATAATTTGTACGGCCTGACATAATTATAAATGCAGTTATAAATGAATTACTGCACGCTAATCTCAATGTAATAATTTTAAGTCATACGGTAAAAGTCAATTTCGTCTAAATAACCTTTCTCCACGAGTGCTACGTTGCATGGAATTACGCAAAAAAGCAGGAATAGAACGATGACTTGCTATTTCATGTGGTAATGGCAACATTTTAATCTTGCTTTTTTGATCCATTAATCTAAAACATAATCGTTTAAAGAGAAACTTAATCGATCGATCGTAAAAATTTTGATTGATAGACTGATCAAAAATTTGAACTAAACCTTATATCACTATAATAGTATGAACTAAACAAACAAAAAACAAGAATTATAGAAAACTTTAGCATAAGCAAAGGTCAAACAAATGAAATTATTACTGAACATTGGCAGTAGAACCTGTTATACCCGAAAGCCAATGCTCTTCACGGGCTGATTGTGCTGAATATAATGGTTCAATTTCAGTTTCACTCCAGAAAACATCTTTAAGCAATGCTGGTGTTTTATTATTATATCCAGCATCAACAATTGTTAATCCAACCTATTATTTATACAGAGAAATAAAGCTAAAATTATGCCATAAAATTTTTTATAAAAAGTTTGAATGCTTTTGATTGGTTATTTTAATGCGAAAAGTTGAGTACAATATTTTATTTTATTAGTCATTTCACTGCAAAACAAAAAGTTATACATTATTCTGATTACTTTTTTGGACTGAATTATTCCATTTTATGTTTACATAATAAGTATTTTTATTTGAAAAGAATATTGAAATTTGGTTTGTAAATTTTATGACGGAAATTGGAAAGATAACTTTTCAAGTCATAAAAATTATGATAATTATTTTTGAATAAAAAATTAGAAGTAAATTAAAAATACAGTAAGATTTTTGTCTATAAGAAAATTGCATTCAAAGTCGTCATCATCTTCGCCAAATGGATTAAGCATTGCCTCTGCCACTTTCAACCATCCCATATAAAACACAAACTGTATAGCAGTCATTACTGGTATATAAATATCCATCTATAAAATCAGGAAATCAGTACTATTATTCTTATCATTACTAAAATAAATTTGCATACTGGTCGGATTATTACCTGTATCAAGTAGGTCTTAATATATGTAAATTTTTAACTGAAAAAAATAGCAGTTTTAATTCTTATCATAAGCAAATCAATAACATCAGAAAATGCATTATATATTAAAATTACGAACTAAAATCAAAAACAGCAAACTTTTGATTTATTCAGCGCTCCTTCACTAATAATGAATTGCCTGGAAATTGCGCCAACAAGAAAATACGTATGAACAGCTAAAACAATTAGCTGTGGATACATAATTGGCAATGGAACCCAGTCAAAATTGCATAAAATTGCCAAATTTGTGCGAAATACTTTAATTTCCTGCAAATATCAACTTTGAACTCAAAAGAAAAATTAATCTTACGTATAATTAAAATGCAAACTATTTTTATATAATGAAACTAATCAGAAATTGGTCATAATTTTTAATATTCATAAACACATTTTTTGTGATTCATAATCATTATTACTACTACAGTTATCATTTCTGTTCTACTCTTCATATTTTTTGCAACCGAAATTTCAAAGACATTGTGACCATAATAAAGCATAAATGCATTCAACAACAAAAATATATAACGATCCATTAAATATAACAAGAGACTCAGATTCCTCTACAACTCTAATTGTGATATTTCTCACTAAAATATGATTAAAATCTTTACTAATATTAGTACTTTTCAATTTAAATCATGTATGATCAATATTTATTACTACTATCACCAAAACGATAATTAATCACAACGATTGAGAAGTTACGATTTAAATGAAAATGAAACAATATCAGTTAGGATTGTATATAGCCAACTAATCACTATACAACATTTTTTCTGATAGTAAAATCTGGAATATTTATAATCTAGAAGAAAATTAATGCTAGTGAGATAAAATGAATTTAAAATGATAATTTTAATAAATGCATCTGACGTAAGTAAGAAAGTTTTTATAAAAGTTAAACTATGTAAACTTTCAGCAATAGAAATTCAGCGTACTTACAGCATTGAAGCAAGATGATGTTTTATGATATCCTAACTGACCTTTCGCTGAGGTCAAAATATAGTTAGCTTTAAAAATATAGTTACAGTTAACTCACTTCTCCAACCTTTTCCAACAGAATATCACTTGAAATTTTGCGTTGATTTCGAGCCTCTTGACAAAGTGATAAAGCCCACTGAAATGGCATCCAATACTTAGCGTAACGATACTGAATTGCATCATATTTCTGTTTCTCGTGCTCCATCATGAAACCTGTATTTATGTAATTGAAATCATCATTTTATGATCTAATTTTCATGAAAACTTAAAAACTTTTATCCATAAAAATTATTAAATTTTATTGATAAAAAGTGACAAATATTGTAACATCAAATTATAATGATAGTGATAACTTTAATAGCTGATGAAATTAATTATGAATATTAAAACACTTGACTGAAAATAACTAAAAATGAAGTGGTAAAATTTCAATAACCTAATATTTTTAAGTAAAACTGAATCTGTATAAATGCTAAAGTGTTATACCAGCAGCAACCAACGTTTCAATGGTAGGAAAACGCTTGCGAACTCGCATACTAATATCACGAAACACTAATGCCTGAGATAAAACACAGTATCGAATTATATTGCGACGCAACATACGTGTATGTTCGTCTGAGCCTTTTACGTACGCTGCCACCATTAATGCTATGCTGCGAAAACAACACTTTTCAATTCTCAACACAAAAAAATATATAGACTTATATAAAAAATAAGTTTTCAAAATACCAAAAAATTTTATTCCGAATTTTTTTCACTTATATAAAAAATAATTTTTTCGAATTATATACTGTTTTGAAAGTATTCTGTTTTCTTTTTTTTTAAATAAAAATATACCTTATATTAAAAAAAATAAGTTTCTATTCTATACATAACTGATTTTGAATATTATGTCGGGTAAATTCGGTATTTCTATATTGAAAAATATTTTGGAAAGGTATAAAGTAAATAATCAATTATTAATAAAACCAGAAATTAAATAAGAAAAAAAACAAACTTATCAATGTACCCAATGTTTACAAAGAAATTGATCCATCTGGACAGTACAGAAGTTACAAAAAATCCAAGCATGAAATTTAAAGGGATATAATCCAATTTTTCATCACAGTAATGTACAAATTGCTCAAATTTGCTGAAAATATTGAAATATTATTGTATTATACATAATATAATAACTATAATACTAAAAAAATTCTACTTTATGCAAAAATTTTAATAATACAAAAATTAATTAGGATGTACCTAACTTGTTCATCCGTCAATGCAACTCTGTATATTATTGATATTATCGTAAATAATACTAGCCAAACAAATAATTCTAGAATTACTGATTTCCATATACTTCCACGCCATCGAAACAAAAGCTTAAATAGAGTCCAAGGTCGAGAAGTTGAAACATCCAAGTTATACTGTACTGTCATTCTATAAATCACATATTAATTTTGATGCATAGTTTACTTCAACTTTGAACTAACTTCAAAATTTCAATCGTACTTTTGATAGGCAATAAAAAAATTAACATAAGACTAATTTACGTTGTCATTCAAATTTGCTTGGCTTATATCTTATACCTCTATATCTTTTTGCAACAATTTTTATTCTTAACTTTGTTATA